CTCTGCTACACACACATTCATACAGCTCTCTGCTACACACGCATTCATACAGCTCTCTACTACACACACATTCATATAGCTCTCTACTACACACACATTCATACAGCTCTCTACTATACACTCATTCATCAGAATCAGAATCAGAATAAACTTTATTGGCATTGCACCGAGACACAACGCGAATATGTATGTACAGTCGTCCAAAGATGGGCGGAGTGCACGAAGCTGCAGCTAAAATAATTAGCGCAGCCTTCTTATTCTTATTCAGAATAATATTTTGCTTAGATAAGAAAAAGGAAAGAAAACATGAGGAGAGACGGTATAAAAAAAAAGATCTCTCAAACCGTGTCCTAGACAGGGCACAATTTGAGGCATCAAAAAAAACTACCACAGCAAAGCAACATAAACAGACGTTATACATGAACATATAGGCGGTGAAAACATTGAATTTTTAAGGGAAAGTCATAGCATAGTCCAGAGCCCCCCCTCAGCCATTGTCCAGATAAGAGGTGACGTTCATCTTCAGCTCAGTTGAGGTTCTGTTACATGTCCACGGCCTTGGGGAAGGGAGGGGTGAGGAAACAGTCAAAGCATCTTTGTTGTTTTCCAAACATTCCAGGAGGAGTTGAGATAAGTCCGGCATCAAGGCCACACTTTGGGTCAGGCAGAACTCGTAATTGTTGTTTCTGCCTTTAAAGTCTCGCTGGTACATATTCTCTGATGGAAACTCCAAAACAGCCGAATTGATCCTTTACTCCAAAAGTCGAGCTCACAGCTTCTCCAGATTATTCCATCATTCATGAGTGCTGCCAGGGAGAACACAGTCCTGATAACAGCTGCTCCAATTCCCTGTCACAGCTCCACATCCGAGCACTGTCAAGCTTCAACACCTCCACACGAATTTGTAGACAACCACATTCCACCAACCCAAACAGTAGAATCTAGTCGTCATCATGAATCCAATTTGTCCTTGAGAGTTCAGAGTGTCCTGCTTACCCTGACTCCTGTCGGGAGAAGTTGATCGATTTTGTTGAGAGACCAGCTGATCCTTCCAATTAAGAGGTATACAAAAAAAAAAAAAAGAGGCTTTTTAAGGATTCACAGGACAAAAGAGCGCAGCAAGGAAGCGGGTGGGGGGGCAGAG